GGGGGGGGGGGGGGGGGGGGGGGGGGGGAATGTTTAAGTCAACAACGGCATGGCAATGTTTAAGTCAATATTGCTAACATTGATTCCGATATTTAATTTTCATTCTCAAAATGGCTTCAATGTTGAACTCAACGGTAATATTTGTGCCGAGTCCCGATCTAAACTGAAGTACCGGATGTACCGCAGCAAGTACTGCCACTCGACTGCCACGAGATCCACGATATTATGAATAAATGGCCTCTCGGGCGATCTTCGCTCTCAACTGAGATTCGAGTCTCATCTCATCCTCGTCCTATCGGCTCCTCGTTTCAAAATTGATTCATTCCATTCTCATTTCATCCTCGTTTCATCCTTGGGGCCCAAATGAACGCTCTAGCGAGTCGCAGAGTGAAATGAGCGGGAACGAGTAAGAACAGCGTTTTGCGCGAGCTGAAATAATTAAATAACTATTAAACAAGAAAATAATTACCGTTCGGTTGAACGCATTACTCCACGTTACACCTCGTTATAGAAGCAGGAATATTTAATTTTAAGGTGCACTTTTTGTTAACACCGATGTAGGACCTTAGTCCAGAACTCCCTAACCGCCTCAGAAAGTTGAGAGAAAGACAAAAAAGGACTTTTATTCGTTGGCCGAGTGGTTCTTCCGAATTTCACTCGGGGTTGCGGTATATCGATTCCTCTCTGCACTGGAAATTAAAAGAAAAATTTTGGAATTGAACATTTCCGTTGTCTTTCTCGTTCCCCGTGCGTTTCTTAAAAGAAAAATATATCGAGGGAATGCACTTCTGCATCTTGATGCTGTCTGCAGTCCCGCCCCATTTCCATCTTCTATATCCCTCATACGAGCGAGCCCATTAGTCGCAAATCGCATCTTGCTTATAGCTGGATTATACAGGAAGAATCGAGCGCGGGAATGGAGAGGTCATTTCCCGAAACCTCACGAAGTGTGTTGCGACGCACCAAGAGGCTTCCCGCGAGGAACCGAGAGTCTCACGAACCGTGGAATGCCCTCCAACATTCTCAACTTATTTTTTAAATTTAAATTCTTCCCTGGTCTGAATTAAGTGGGTATGACGAATATGTCCGTCACGGCGAAACGCTGTACGGGTTTCACGTAGCATGTCGCGCAAATTTTCGCGTTTCGGTCAAGTATGAACTCGAAAATCGAAAGAGGAATATAAACTCGAAAAGTAAATTTTTGTGCAAAAATTTTTTTGTACAAAATTTTTTTGTACTAATTATTTCTTCCACGAAAAAAAAAAAAGTTCCCACTCCGGTGAGTTCTGTCACAGAAATTCCTCAGTTGTGTGGTTGCAATGGTCGAAGCTGTGCTGTCGGGGAGATTTCTTGGTTGCGTGAGCAGCTGAAAATGAAAACATCGTTTATTAAGTTTGTTCGAATTATATATATTTAGAAATAAATTATCCATGAACCAACTTCGTAAGAACATTGCGAGGACCGAATTTACTTTAAAGCGGCGAAGGAATGCGTTCGGATCCTGGCTTTGTTTCTTCCGTTTAGGAAAAATCTGCTGACTTTCTGAGAAAAAAAAGAGCAAAGAAATTATTTAAAAAAAATAGCAAAGAAGTTATTAAAAAAAATAGCAAAGAAAAGGTTGAAAAAAAAAGAACGCGAATGACTTCATAGATCTTCTCAAAAAAGTTTTAAAAGAAATTAAAGCAGTCGAATTCAAAACAGAACTTTTTTTTCATTTACTGGAAATGCGAGGGTGCATTTTAAGTCCGACAACAGGGGAAAGTCCCGGTTCCCTGGGAAGACCCCCGAGAAGCTCGGAGATCCAGGGGACCCTCGACGTCCCGATTCTCCAGTTTCTCTTCCAGGATCGCCTCGGCCAGGTCCAGGAACAGCTTCTTCACGTTCACGTTCGTCTTTGCCGACGTCTCCACGAACGCGTATCCCAGCCTGCAGGATGCAATTTACTGATTTTTCTGCTCGGAGTTGGTATTTTAAAAGGAAATTAGGAAAATAAAATTTAAATAATAAGGAAATAAAAAATGTAAGGAAATAAAAGCAAAGAAAATTAAATATTAAGGAAAAAATTTGAGGAAGTAAAATCAGGGAAATTAAATATTTATGAAGTTTAATAATATAATGATGAAAGTATATGTCCATGACCAACCGTAGTACCATTTTCCCCACTCAAACACGAAAAATTACGCCAAATGTCCCGTATAAATTGTGAGGCCCAGATCGGCCTCGTCGGCCGGACTCACTCTTCCGCCTTGACCCGCCCTCGCTCCGTGGAAACGACCCTCAAGTGTTCCATGTCGCATTTGTTCCCCACCAGCGTCTTCTTCACGCCCTCGCCCGCGTGTTCCTCGATGGATCTCGCCCACATCTCCACGTTATGCATGGATCTGGAGCCCCGAAAACGATGTCAATCGAGATGACTCCGTGAACCACGAGGAGTCCACGAACGAATGAATAAAATATATATTCTGTCGACTCCGCATATTGGAATACTCACGGGACCAGCGAACTTTATAATCCGGAGTATTCCCATAACTGAAACTATCTGCTATATCGTATCGTAAATCGGGATCGTGCAATGGTATTCCATTAAGCGGAATTTCATTAAGCGGTATTTCATTAAGCGGTATTCCATTAAGCGGAGCCGACTGCAATTGTAAACTATAAATTAAATATTAATTTTAAAATTTGGGAATAAGAGCGCGAACAGATCAAATTTTAATCGAGACCACCAAGTGCTTCAGATGTAATTTCAAACCTACGCAGAAACAAAAAAAAAAATAGGAAAAAACGCAGCCGATGCCTCGGATCAGTGACGTCATAGACGAGGATGACCCCATGCGCCCCCCTGTAATAAGAGCTGGTGATGGAGCGAAACCTCTCCTGCCCCGCCGTGTCCCACATCTGCAGGCGGACGCGGTAGCCCTTCATCGGGATCACCTTCGCCTGCCGACACGCGGAGGGAATCGCTTCAAGCAATTTAGGGTGAGCAAAATTTGGGGAATTGGAGTCTTTTGATGGGATCGTTTGGGCCTGCTAGGAGAAATTATGTAATTAATATAAAATAAAGTTAGTATTTAAAAAAAATTGAATCTTAGCAGTCTGCAGACCGTTGAAATTATTTCTGATTATTGTAAAGAATTAAAGAAGAGTTCACTCGCGTGATTAATTTAAGAATGATGAAAAAGGCTTGGAAATGAAGGACTTGCCTTGAAATCGACGCCGATGGTGGAGATGAAAGCGGGACTGAAGGTGTCGTCGGTAAAGCGGAACATGAGGGAACTCTTTCCCACGCCCGAGTCACCGACGAGGATTATCTTCAGGAACTGGTCCTTGAGGAACGGCTCCTTGAGGGGTGGCTCCTGGAGGGGTGGCTCCTGGAAGGGTGGCTCCTGGAGGGGTGGCTCCTGGAGGGGTGGCTCCTGGAGGGGTGGCTCCTGGAGGGGTGGCTCCGTCGTTGGGTTCATCATTTGGGGATGGTCGACGCGGAAAATGTGCAGTGTGACTTTTGAATCTTGAGGCTTCGTTGAAATAATCGGCACCTTCGCGATATATTTTGCGGAATTTTTCGTCCCGAATCGATATTTGCGAGAAGAGGACGGACGAGAAGAAACGAGGGAAGAAAAGATAAAAATGGATTCGTCAGCGATGCCTCGTTGCCCAAACGGCCTCGAGGATCATCGACGGGTGAGAATCTATCGATTAACGGTCGATTGCTCGATGATGGAGTTGATCGTTTTGGATTCTTGCCATTCCATCGTGTTATCTCCGTCGAGCCAAGGCCGTCGCGGATGTCGATCGCTTTTTTCCCTTCCGATCTTGATTGCTGCCGATTTTGGCTCCATTACGGGGCCCCTCGCATGAAACAAACGATCCAATCAGGCTCGATGGCTTCCGTCGTTTGATGACGTCATCGATCCGCATGTATGCCCATCTCGTCGATTCGGACCGGATGCGACACGGTGCGACGGGTCGGAAGGCGATCTATTTCGGGGGGAGCTTTGCCAGAAGCTCATAAGCTTCGCTTTGCATTACTGTGCCGCCTTTTGGACGCGATCGATCGAGAGGAAGCAAAGTAGCTTGAACTAAGGAATTTTATTCAAGATTTCTCTCCTACGAAAAAAAAGTTTGGACTTCGTGCAAATATCGATGCATGCCTTTAAAAAAAAATATTTTGAGCGGAACTATGATACATTTGGAATCCTCCTCGAACGGCCTCAAAAATGCTCGAAAGAAGCACGAACCCAAGCTAGCAAGTCCACTTCATGACCCCGAGAAAACTAACGATCCGTGGAAAAGAGCGATCGCAAGATGCCCTCATCGACGGAATGCGGCATCGTGATCTTCAGCTGCGAGTCCTCCGCCATGGTCCTCTCGACCGCGTCCATCGCGAAAGGGTTCCCCGCCCAGCTCCGCCTGGCGACCCCGTTCGACACGTCCCAGGCCAGCATGGCCTTCGCCCGCTCGCTCGCCTCTGGCGTCCCGTCCAGGACCAGTCCGAAGCCTCCGTTCGTCACTTCTCCCCTATTTCCACCGTCAAGAGAGCAGTTTCAGTTGCGTTTTTTATTTTTTTTTTGTTTTCATTCATTTTTAGACCTAAACCATAGATGTTTCATAGATCGTAGATCATAAGAACCATAGATGCTCTTTTTCTTCCCATATTCCTGTGTTTTGTCGAAGGGAAAGGGAAATCGCTTCACTGTTTCGGATGGATGAATTTCCAAAACGTCTCGGAATCATGGGATAATTTCCGTGGTTGCCGACCTAGTCCTGTCATCAGGATGAAAGGAGTTACATTTAACTACTGTTCATTGGCCAAGCCAAAATAGTCAGTTGTATTTTGGCGATCGCTATCCAAAAAATTATCCCTTACCAATGGAAGTCGTGAGATTAAATTTGGCAAGGACGTAGCTCCAGGTCACGTGAGAGGAAAATTTAAATCTCGTTTTGAAAAGTTCAATGGGAGAGACACAGTAAATACAAATATGAGATTGCAAAACTGTGCGTGCAGCGAGGTCTGCCGAGGCAATTAACACATTCGCCTCTAAACTCCCAGGCAACAAAAGAAAAATTGTTTTGGCCAATATCACACCTATTTACGTATTCAAAAATCATGCAGTGCATGCTAGGAGCCTGGAAGAATGTGATAAAACCGACTAGACCATCAGCTGCTCAACGGAGCAACCAACAGATACATGGAACTAGATGGAAATAACTCGGCATTAGCGGCGAATGCTCGGCCGACCGACCTGCTTCTTCGAGTGCCTCCCCCCCTCCCATCTCCTATCTCCTGTCGTCTTTGACGGGATGCAATCCCCTCCTCTCCGGCAGACCGGGCTGGGAGAAATCTAATTTCACTCTCTCGCTTGTCTCGTATTGTATTCCGCTGGTGTCATTCATTGCGTGCAATCACGTGTTTGTAATTAATGTTTTTTTTTTTTCCTGGATCCCGTTATCGCCGAACGGCGTGAGACCATTTCGCTGTCTCGTGCCTACCCTCGTGTGCCCACACCCGTCAAGGCACCAGTCAAAGGACAAAGGACAAAAGACGAAGGGCACTCACCATCCGACGCCACCCCCGTTGTGCAGTGCAACCCAAGTCGCCCCCCGGAACGCATCCCCGATGCAGTTCTGCACTGCCATGTCTAAAATGACCCACCGTCTCAAATCACCTGCAAGGTTTTCAAAACTACCGACGGAACAGCATGAAAAAAAAAACAAACCAGCACAAAAAGCAGATCCGTCTTCGATGTTTGATGTTTCCCGATAGGGGCTATCCGTCCCGCTCACGTCGTGGTGATCCCGGCTGATCACCACCGGACCCTGTCATCCACATAAACCTCATTCAGCAATCAACACGATAAACCACTATGCGAGGGCTTCGCTCATATTGCGAAGCCCAAAGTACTCGAAGGCACTCTTAATATATGCATTCCGGCTAGAATTAAATTCCTTACGCTTCCGTGTTTTAGGCTTTCTGCACGGTGCTCGAGTATGGCACTGTAATAAACACGCTTCAGTCTTTTAATATGGGGAAACGAAGCAGCATTGCGTCTCGTCTCGGCTCAGTCGGACAAAGGACTCTAATAGATGGGAAGAGGACTGCATTGGGATTCTTTATATCAGACGAGTTCAAAATCGATTCCATCTGTGGCTTCCATAAATTTAGTCGCCGCAGCCTCTTCTGAAATATATTGCTGATCCCTAATCTATAGACCCGAACGACTCCAACGTGATTACAAGACGCATTCCGGAGGCACGATCGATTGGTGCCTGCCGCGCGGGAGGCAAGGGTCCGATCCCTGGAGGCAAGGGTCCGATCCCGAGAGGAAAGGGTCCGATCCCTGGAGGCAAGGGTCCGATCCCAGCCGCGAATGGGTACACACTGACTCTCTAGCGATGCTCAAAATCATGGCATTTCAGGGTGAGAGGTGATGCGAGAGTAGACCCTTTGGGGCACCCATTCCAAGGAAATGTGGGAAAACCTCATCCGATTTTAAAGTGGGCGTGAGAAACACCTTCGGGCTGTTGGCTCCGCCCGAGAATAAAACCTCAATATCACCGTTTTTCGTATGATGTCTGCATGAATGAGGATTATGAGACTTCTGCAATGCAAATTTTGTACGTTAAAGTCGCGGAACGGGTATATACTGCTAACGTTAAGGCTTTTCGATCGAATGAACTCCTGTCACCATACTGGAAGACGAATTGAGGGACTGTAAATGCTTCATATTTAATCACATCTCGCTACCCAATTTATGGCCTGGATTCATCCAGTATTCCGCCTCAGTATCGTTATCGTTACCGTCTGAGTAACGTACCGTGTGAAGTCCGTGAAAATATTGCGTAAGGTATAAAATAATAAAATATTCGATGCGCTTAGGCCCTATCCCTCGGGGGAATCCCATCTCCCATAGCGAGCCCATTATAATGAGACCCCAAGGGTGACACTCCGAGTGATCGATGACCCAAGGGTTACAATAGAGGAAACGATTCCACGAACACGTGCAGCTGGTTTCGGCGCCTACCTCGAGCTCGTCCATCGCAACGGCCTCGTTGAAGAGCGCCGCCAGGGCGACCCGACCCTTCTGGTCGCTGTAGAGGATCCGCGCCTGGGATCCCACCACCAGGGCGGCCTCTCCCGCTCCCTCCATCCACCTGATGTTGTCCGAGTACTGGCTCCGCACCCACTCCGGCATCTCCTCTAAAGGGGGAGGAGATGGGAATTTTTTTTAATTTTACGACCTGTGACACTCATCGATCTCGCGGTTGTGTTTCAATCATGGATAAATTAGAACGTTTTTTAGGTTTGAGTGATTTTGCTATTCTTCCATATTTTGACCTCGAATATAATCATTTAGAAAATAATTAATATTTTTTTTAGACTTAGAATTAATACGACAAATTAATCTATTAAAGGTACTACAGGTGCTCCTTATCATTTGTTCTTCATAGGATAAAGATGGGTCTGTTAAGGGCCTGGACTCAATGATGGGCCACGGTTTCAAGAACTAAGCATGTGTAGCGTGAACATGCCTCTGAAGTGAAATATATGCTTGCATGTTGTTAGTCTGTCACTATAGGTGACATGGTATCCGTGCTATGGAAGATTAGCTGTTGAAATTTTTATGTGCTGTGTGGTCCACCACTGGATAGCGGTCCATCACTAAGTATTTAACCCTACTCAATCTAATTACTGCTATATAATGGTGTTGTCGAATCTAAACTTCTACCACATTCATCCTCCCCAACTTCGGGAAAGATAACAGACCATTGGATAGATCCTTGAGCAATCGTATGGCCATCTGATCCGTTTTCCTGAGGTCATCGGGCGATCCCGAGGTGCACACCCATCGGAAGGGACCAAACCCCATGGAAAAGATGTCCCTGCGAACGAAACCCCGGTTAAACAACACGCCCTCGCATATTACAAATTTTCATTCCCTCACCCCATGATGTCCTGGACGTAGGAGGGATAGCGGAACCGGAGGGAGTCGGGAGACGCACCCGGGAGGTGCACGGATGCGCCTGCCCGTCCCGCCTCCAACAGGAAGGCGTTCCCGTAGTCCCAGAACTTCATCCCCGCCTTGGACAACTTGTTGATGGCCTTCACCTGTCGTCGCAGACTCTCTTCTACCAACGCCTTGAACTTTTCCGGCTCTTCCCCCATCATCTGAAGAATCGAGTCAATTATTTTTAGCAGTCCTATCCAGGCGGCCATCCAGATTGGGTGCAAGATTGAAAACGCGGTGTTTACCTGCTAAGATAAACAGTGTGACCGGAGTATGGTTTCATTATGGAAACCGCACAAAGTCTCGACTTTATGACAAAAATTTATAGGTTTTTTTTTGGAAGAAATCCCGATTGTGCGTGGAAGCCTACACATCGCCTCCATTCATTAAAAAACTTGAAATTAAGTACTTTTTTCCATCGACAAAACAAATATATGGATATAAACGCGATTCGTCGTTTTCTCTAAAAAAGAAAATGAATATTTTAACTTGAAAATTCAGCAGCCAATAAGAATGGCACTACCTTGAAGAGTGATTATCCCTAGAAGGCAACCAGCTCGTTCTTCGTGGAAGAAGGAGAACCAGACTCACCTCCCTTGCCTCTTGAAACCCGATCTGCACGGGATAATACCCTCCATTGAAGGGATTGTGGCAGGAGGTCTGATCGGAGCCGAGCTCCACCAGCATCTCCCCGTCGGCCTCGAGCAGCCCCGCCAGTCGCTCCCAGAGGGTCACCACGTTGCCCAGGTAGCCGATGCTCGTGACCTCGTGGTTTCGTCTCGCTTTTCTCACTCGGGAGATGACTTCGTCCACGTCTCGGTAGTACTCTTTCAGCCAGCCTTGGTCGTATCGCTTCATCAGGGCTTCCTCGCTCACCTGAAACGATTTTGCGACGCGTAATGTCATTTCGTGGAAGTTGTGTCACCGAATGCAACGAAACGTAATTCGGCCCGAAAAATTAACACGACGAATTTAGATTGCTCTCTCTCCCCAAGCCCGAATCACAGCGTCCAAGGTCAGACGAACCAAGTACCTCAGCGATGAGCGCGATGCACCCGGCGATGACGGCCGCCTTCGCCTGGGCTCCGCTCATCCCCCCGAGCCCCGAAGTCACAAGCACCTTCCCCCTGAGGTCTTCGAGGCCCAGGTACTTCCGGCCCGCGTTCAGAACCGTGATCTGTACGATGGGGGATTCACGCAGGTTTAACTTGAAACTGATATCGCATCCATGAGGTCAAAATCAAGGGCGGCGATGAGGCTCAATGATTTATTCTCTTTCCTCAAAGGTAGAAATGTACGTAGCACGAATCGGAACGTTGAAAAAGACACTTGGAAAAAACTCACAGTGGTGCCGTGAACGATACCCTGAGGACCGATGTAACAGTAACTCCCTGCCGTCATTTGACCGTACCTGGACCGCAAAATAAATTTTAAAAGGCTGTTGCAGCGTGAACAGAGCAAACCGAGTAAACCAGAGTGAACCGAAAAAAAAAGACAGGCGACAGAAGCGCCACCACCCGCACATGGTAACGCCGAGAGCGAAGAGCCGGTCGTAGTCCTCCCGCGACGAGTGACTCGGAATGACCATCCCGTTCGTGATGACCATCCTCGGGGAATGGTGCGTGGCGGGGAAGAGGCCCAGGGGATGCCCCGAGTACATCACCAGGGTCTGGTCCTCTCGGAGCTCGCTCAGGTACCGCATCACCAGCCAGAACTGGGATCGTCGATGCGTTCAGCATCCGATACTCTCCCATTCATTTTTTTTTCACATCAACAGGGTGTTCCCGATACCGTTTCCGACCGCCCATGGAGCGGTAAGGTACACGTGTTGCACACCGATAAAAGGTTCTTGCAGGCCCGATTTCCATTCCGATGTCGACTCATACGTATGGAATTCGCAGTACTATGAAGTACCGAGTGTGACTATCTCCAGAACCGCATTTGATATTAAACCCCCCGGATGAAGCCAACATCTTCGCCTGAAGACATCGCATTCTATAGAAAACTCTCTCGCCACCGGCTGACGGCAAATGCTTAAGAAATGCTACGGTGCATCGAAATGCAGGTGGCGAGAACCCTCGCATTCTCTCTTTATCTTCAAGGAATCTTGACCATTTATCTTCATCCCAGCACTTCCTAAATCGGAAGACTACAAAAATGGAAATAAACACGAAGTTTCTTTCTTTTTCCTTTTTGCTCTCAACTCGTTTCATCAATTCAGTTCCTGAGGCATAAGTACGAATTAATCGATGACGTCATGCTCAGAAATCTGTCGGCTATCTGACACGCTATCTTGCCCTCTTGAAAAGCGATGTAATTACTCCCTGATTACTTGCGTCGAAAAAGAAATTCCTGCCACTTCAGATTTTCTTTTTGCAGTCAGACATGCAAAACTTCACATTTTCCCCGTCAAAGCGCGACTTTTTCAGACAGAAATCTCTGCGTTAAGCTTCATCATTGACACAGTACCACTAAGTACCAAATTCACTGCGGATTCCAAACTATCGGGCTCAGCAGTATTTTCTTTTTTTTTACTATGATGTTGAGAGTAGTTCGTACTCAAAACTCGAGGGTGAGGCAGAAAACAGACGGGATTCCCCTTTGAATGAGCAAACTGATGCGAAATACGTTTTGTGGGTGCAGAATACCTGAGCCCAGTTGGAGAAGACTTGCCCGTTCCCGCCGTAGGTGACCAGTTCCTGAGGAAACTGCGCGACGCGGGGATCCAGATTGTTCATGATCATGTGCATGATGCAGGCGGCAGACGTCGTCTTCGCGGGGTAGGCGTCGACCGGGTAGGCCCTGCAGGGATGAGAGGTTCAGCATCGACGGGGATGCGAGACAGGGTTGCCCGATTCCGCTCACCGTATCGGGAAGTCCGGGAGGAATCGGTACATGTAAATGTGCCCGTAGACTTGGAGCTCAGAGGCGAATTCGGGGGCCAGGGTCGCGTGGAGACGAGGAGGGAAATACCGCAGCGCATTTTTGACCGCCAGCTGCAGGGAATCCAAACGAGTTCGGTTCATCGAGGGAAATCACCCGCGATCCCACCCGAGTATTCTGAACGTGGTCGCCAAAACAATGGCTGGTATGCAAGAACGTATGAAACCGATGAAATAGCTACTTTGGGGAGTATTATATGAGAAGTTTGATAAGTTGGCCATATGCAGAAACAATTTATACCTATCATGATAGGGTACCATGATAGGTATAAGAATCGCTTCGACCTATTATGATTCAGAGCTTGTTTATTATGCTTATAACGAGCTTCAAGGGCTGATTGCAGTGATTTTAACTAACCCAATTAACTATGTGAACCGTCGCAACTTGTGCCGAGCGCAGTTACTCCGAGATAGATTAAACCTCGTATAATTCTTTGTATCAATTCACGGAAATCGGAATTGAAGCACTAGTCTGGTAAACGGGGTCAGATTAATATCATTAAATCATCACACAATACTCTGGTCAGTCTGGTGAGCATTGTTCCTGGGCGAGAGACGATGGATAGGAGGTTGTCATCAGGAAGATTCACGAATACCTATCATGATAGGTATCTTATACCTATCATGATAGGTCTCACGATGGATACCTATAAATTGTTTTTGTATACGGAACTGAGGAAATTATAGACCTATCGCCTGATACCTGTCATGATAGCTACCATGTAATATGCTATCGAGTGATAGGTTCTTGCATACGGGCCAATATATCTGCATAACTTTCCGAGTTCAGTTTCTTAAATAGAATCAGCAGAGAGAGAGAGAGGGAGGGAGAGAGAGGAAGGGAGGGAAAGAATCTGCGAATGATGGCAACCCTGGAATTGCGTGAAGCGCAACCGTGTTCCCCTCATTTCAGGGATGTCCATGGGAACCTCTCCGCACGATGCATTATTACAAAGCACTGTGAAAATTCGTTAAACACGAATCTCGATGAGTCGAAATTCCGCTTACAGTGTATCTCAGCGAGTTTCGCACGTCCTGCAGACTGCAAGGCACTTGCGGCAAAAAAAACCTCGGCACAACCCTCAAAATGGACCGCACGCGTTGCATAATGTTTCGTACCCCCTGCTCTCCTCCATTCCTCAAGTGCCGCCCAGAATGGGAAGACCACCTGGCAACCCTGACGGGAACCGTGTCCCGGGACCCTCGAAACAATGGCTTCATTAAACCCCCCCCACGGAAGGCATTCGTCAGTTTCGCGCTCGGCCGTCGTGGCGCCCAGGCGAAAGTCTCCTGGCGCATATCGTATCATTACTGTATATGGCATTTCATCGATGAAAATTCCTGAGCGTAGAACTCCTTTCCCATTTACTTCATCCATGGAGTACTTGAGCGTAATCTGTGAATCTGGGCGCTCGACATCCTTCCATTCTGAAGACTATCGACAAACCGTGCATTCCTCGCTCCGAGGGTTGTCAGATGAACACCGTTCGGAGTGACACCTGCTCGCTGGGCGGGAAGCGAGGGGTACGAAACATTATGCAACGCATGCGGATCTTTTTGATGGTAATGCTTACTCCCGGCGGAATCCCGTAGGACGCCATCTTTAATATTCCGTTTCGTTCGAATTCGCTCATCTCGAATTTCCGGATATCTCGAACCACATTTTTACTCCCGATTACAATTTTCTCAAGGTTAACTCGAAATCGGGGTGCGAAAGGGAAAAAGATTCTTCTTGTGGAACTAATGGATCCTTTGAATAGAGTGAAAGACAAGAAACCCATTCAGGAAAAATACATTTTCTTTCTTTTGTTGTAATTTTTATTTCCACCCTCACAGACGGCTGTGGAGCAGATAAAACCTGGGAATTGAAACCGAAAAGCCTCTGCTAAAATGAAAAAACACCCTCCAGCACTCCCCCCTTTCTCTTTATTACTCTTCTTGCCATTCCAGTCGTACTGTTTCCTTTACGCCATTGGTGTTGGAATGAACCCACTCGAGAGGAAACCGAAGGCTCAAAGATCATCGGTCGAAGAGCGTTATAAAAAAGGAATTTTACATACGGAGTACCAATGTTTCCCTTGCGATAAGTAAAAGGCAATTATAATGAGAAGGTCGTCGCTCATCGAGTTCCCTTAACGTATTTATTATTATTATTATTTACGGCACTGGCAATCCCTGACGTGTCGAACTTTTGATAATTTGAAACGATTTTCCCGGTCCCTAAAAGTTTGAGTTGACGAGTTTTCACTGTAATGGCTTCATTAAATGCATTCTTAATAACGGGACGAACTTACAGTCGGATCTGCCGTAATGCGGGTGAAGTTTCTTGGACTGGATAAAGCCTTCGTGCTATCGAGATCAGAGTGTTGCCTGGTTTCCTCCTAGGTGTTAATTAATTTTTTGTTTTGTTTTCCTGCGCGTGCACGATGGCTAAGACAACGGTTCCGAGTCGGCCATGACCACTTTTTAAAGGAATTTTAAGAGGTTGAAGATTGCCTCCGGGAAGTCGCTCACTTTTGTTCTCCATTCAGAGCTGGCCTCGTGATCATGGGGGCACACAGAATACCAGCCACGCCAAAAAGGAGAAGGGCAACCGAACAATGCGAGACATCCGAAGGGCATTTCAATTTCTTGAGATTTATTTTACGAGGAAGGAGCCTGCCTTAAAGTGTCCACTGACGTCACCCGCGCCATCAAATAGATCTCGACTAATGGGCGACGAATGTCCATGGGCTCATCCCAATCGGTGCGCGAAGTCGAGAGTTATTGGACAAAAGCTGTGCAATAAAAAAAACGAGCCATCAGGCTTGCCATCTGGCGATTGCCCAAGCAAACAAGGTTCCCTACACTCAAGCGAGATGGCGCGTAGGTCGGAGCAGACGCGCGAGTCACCCCTCCCCCCACCCCCCCCCGGTGAGCGCGGGGAATTATCAAACCTCCATCGGCTTTTTTGAAGCGAAATTGTGGTTTTCTGGATGACGTCGAGAGATCCTTCATCAATTTTTCATTCAATGCCGAAAAATGCCTCAGAGTGCACTAGTCAAGTAGTTTTTGGATTGTGACTCTTGACTTGACCGATTGGGTTGAGCTCGACTGCATTGCTGAGCCGAGATCTATCTCATGCCGATGACACCGTTGGACATGATTGGACACGTTGTCGGGGTTCTCGATATACGCCCTCGTTACTGAATGAAATTCTTCGAAAATCAGGGACTTTCTTGAATTTCTAAGCGGACAATACACACACACACAGACCCAGTCATACATCCGAACGATTACGTAAGCAGAAAGAAGATTCGCCAACGAAGGCTTGAAAAACTGAAAACGCTCTAGTGAAACCGCTATCGAAACGATAAAAGGAAAGAACGGTACCTTTCGGTCCTGCTCGGAGAGTCGGTGCACCCTCACGGGTGCATGCGGGCACCTCTCGTCCCTCGGCCGCCACGGAGGCAGGGGATCCAGGGGAATCCCCCTGCTGAGCACCCTCAGGTCCACCATCGTCTTCTCCCTCTCGATCGACACTGAGAGGAGGCAGAGAGGGAGGGTGGCTGGATGACTGGATGGCTGGATGGCTCCGAGGGTCTGACGAGCGACTTGTTCGACTGGTCTCCCCGCTTCTAAATCCTCTCGTTTATCTTCTTCGTTTTTTTTTTTAGCCCTCATCACTAGATCTGTCATATTTATTGCCCCCTGTGTCAATCAAGGCCATCTTCCCACCGCATTTTCCGTCAATATGCAGCCATTTTGAGGCAGTATCTAACCTTTCTTGCCGGCACTCTCACGTACTTCCTGATGAATTCTAGGATGACTGAACTCCCAATCGTTTGGATCCGACTAGGAAGGTCGCTACCTCGTTTCCCAAGGGCATCCCAAGAGCGTGATCCCAGCCTCCCTGGCCTCTAAGACATCTGTTTTCCGCGACATCTAACGAACAAAACTGAAACAGTAGTGAGTAAATTCTACGTTAGATGGCAGTAATGGACCAAATCCTGTGGCGAATACGGAATCGGTCCCTGCTACTCGATGATGATGAGCTGATGGGTGCACATGTTATTCAGATGTCCAGGTGATCTTTTCTATCATTCAATCATCTTTCGTATTCAAGCGAACCGGAAGCTGATGGGCGAGTGGAGGAAATTTTCTTTTTTTTTTCATCCAGGCCATCATTTTCTTATGCATTACGGTACACAGGAGGAATCGATGGCGAATGCGTACCGACATTCGCTCTTGGTTCAGCCAAGTCACGCCAAGATGCCCTGCATCGCGAAAAAAAAACAAACAAACAAAAACACGCATGCATATTCGCCGAATGCGAATATGCATGTGTGTTTTTGTTTTCGGCAAACTGTGTTTGGCGAATTCGGATGGATGGGCGTGAAATAAAAAGAACCCGAGCCTTCAACCCAACTCTCGGTGTTCCGTCTCGAAACGATAAATTGAAACCAGACCCGGAGGGAGGGGGCGAAGGCGAGTCGAAGCGCAGGCACACAGCCTTAAACTAAACACAAGTCACACAGGCGGAGCTAGACAGTTGAGGAGCGAGTCACAGTGAAGCAAGACCTCCAGCCTCCCTCCGCTCCTCCTCCACCCCGACAGCGTCGACAACGAACGAATATATCGAGAACCCCGACAACGTGTCCAATCATGTCCAACGGTGTCATCGGCATGAGATAGATCTCGGCTCAGCAATGCAGTCGAGCTCAACCCAATCGGTCAAGTCAAGAGTCACAATCCAAAAACCTAAAATATGCGACCATTGAGACAATGGGAAGACTTGCGACGGGCTGCCACGTCTCAAAGACAACTCCCTCCGCATCGATCAAACTAGAAAAGTACATTTCCTCCTTGTAAAAGAGGTTCTCGTTTGGCCAGTCAATTTCACCAGTCATTTTTGGTCTCGAGACTTCTTAGGATCGTTTCTAACCTCGGTATATTGAACCAATATTGCGGAAGTTGAACGTTCGTCGTACAGAATGAACATTGAATGCGGTGACCACTCGAATGTGATTCATTGGCTGTCACGATTGCTCTGCCTGATCCCCGGTGAACAATGTTATCGTCAGTTTATTTCCATAAATCAAGGA